AGGACGCAGGATATAAACAAATATCGATGATACAGGCACACACATCTGTCTTATTTATTGATCTCAGTGATCCTGAAAAGGGCAGTTGAGGCTTGTTAACCAAAATGAGGTTAATACATACCGTTCCGCTTCACTATTCTTCTACTTCAGTTTCTTCTCATTCCTGGTCGATACACCAATTTTCTCTTCTGACACCCCTGCCTTTCCACACCTTCCCTTTTCTTCTGATGGCCTAGAATGCATTCACATTGACTAGGTAGTCTTGTTCTTCCTGCTTTTCTTAGCATATTTGGAAGAAAATGTCCTTTTTTCTTGACAATGATAACAGGTTTCTCTTCTCTCCTTTCTTTCGGTTGTTTTGACGTTGTGGACATTCTGGAGTCAAATGTCCTTTCTCTTGACAGACACAGCAGATATTTTGGAGTCTCATTAAAGTATACCTTCGAATGACTTTCTAAATGCTTTCTAAATATCTGACCACAAATGGCATCTGTTGCAGTAAATCGCTGACGAAATTGGCGATCTCTTGTTACTCTTCTATCTTCTTCTATAGACTTTTAGGGAGAGAAACTCTCTATATAAAGGGCGCAAGTGTGTGTGTACAACGTTGTCAAATCAAAGTTTGGAATTAAGATGAAATGATTATACTTTGCTGATGAGAAACTAGAAGATGAAACAAGGGGTGACAAAGACGAATTTTTTCCTCGTTTCATACGCTAATGGAAAAGCTAGAACCAGTATATGAGTGATTTTGACGGCGACACGGGAGGGTCTGAACCAACACCTTCAGCCTCTCCCACAAAGCCAAAAGAGTTCTGCTCCACCTAAAAAGAAAGTATGTTAGAAGCGCCCGAGACCCCAAAAGTGACTACTAGAAACATTAAAAACACCACTTACACCTATAAGGTGAAATTTAAAGAGTTCTAGTCTGAAGTCATCCAATTCGCAAGTGTCATTACTGATTTGTTCAATTCCTTGTTAAAGACATTGAAACGACAATGCTAAGCTGAAGAGGACGATAGTTTCAGACTCCTTTCATCACGACAGTTTGAAGTATCCTGTCTGGAGTTAGTTTGGTACACCTTAGGAATTAACAACGTTCAAAGCCATCGACACAAGTCATCACATCCAACAATCAAATGACAAGTTTAAGTTGAGTTTGGTAAAGGCAATCTTCATATCACACCAATTTTACCAGATACTGTTATCGGTAGATGAAATTCGAAGTACCAAAACGAAGCATCATCCAAAATGACAACTAATAAAACCAGATGTGCTTAGCCGTGCCACTGTCATGGATGAAACGTATCCCGACAAGAATGAGAATACATGATAAAAAGAGCATAGTAGGGATTTCAACAATCGGAGAGAGAGAGAGAGAGAGAGAGAGAGAGAGAGAGAGAGAGAGAGAGAGAGAGAGAGAGAGAGAGAGAGAGAGAGAGAGAGAGAGAGAGAGAGAGAGAGAGAGAGAGAGAGAGAGAGAGAAAGAGAACTTTTATGATAGGTAGGCATATCTAATTAGCAAACGTGCGTGGCATTCCTTAAATGCAAAAACTTCAAGAGCCGTTTACTTATCGCTGTACATTGAAAGTATATTATCAAGGCGTTTGCTGAGTTCTAGTTTTTCGAGGACCCAATTCCCTAGCTGGAGAATTTTGTTCCAGTATATCGAATATCTTAGATACATGTATTATCGCGAGAAATGTGGCAAAGGATTTACCAATTGGGAGCAACATTTTTATTAAGGTGAGAGATGTCTGGGTTGTTTAGCGTTCAAACCATGTATTAGTAAAGGAACATAACAAATGCATTGTTCGGCATGTAAATGAATATTATTGTACGTCCCACGTGTTATGAACAATATAGCGTGAAACAAATTCAATAACTGAAAGGTGATTGCTAATTATTAAGATTGAGTTCCACTTGTAGAAATATTTTTTTGATCCAATGACTGAAAGGAACGCGTTTTTACAGAAAAGAATAACAACCCTGTTGTTTTTGTGGCCTAATCATAGACTTTGAACATCATTGCTGCATCATAAAATATAAGAATAAATCGGAGGAAGACTTTAAAGAAGACCGGCACAAGAAGAAAAGTTAGTTGGATATATTTTTACTTTGAATGTACACAATAAACTGGCAGTCAGATCCCAAATGTTTGCATTTCTCATCATGTTTATGATGTTTGCATACAATAATCTTATTTTATAAATGTTCAAACTGTAGTAGAATACCAGGAGGACATGAAAAAGTATTTCAGGGACCCATCACTATTGCCGATTTTGCTGAATAGAACTTAGATCCCATTGACAACTATTTGTACGAAGAGGAGATTTAGCGTTATATGTAATCCACATGCCACAGTAATCGCGCACAATTTCTCAAGATACGATGGACAATGTCTTTAAAATATATTTTACAACAATAATGTTCCAATAAAATCCATCTACATGAAACTTGGAAAAACACATTTTAAAGCTTCCGTGAGGCTTTTCCATGGTCTTTGAGTAGAAAACCTAAATCGTTTGGAATTATAGAAATGGCACAGGTTAATTTAACACGCATTGTCAAGGCCGAAGTTAATCGAAGCGTTGTGCTCCCGCATTTGCACGACGTTCGCTACTACGACCTTAACGGTATGCACATAGAACAACGGAATGCATCATACGTTTGTTATGAAACTCGCTGTTAGACTTATTTGACTTGCAAGAAGAAATGTTGAAATATTGTAGATAGATGTGGGAACATTTTACTAAAGCATCAATTCTTTTAAGGAAGCTTCTACGTTCACTAAAGATTGTAGATTAGTGTATGGAAAGAATTTCACGTCTGAAAACAAACAAGATATCATATTCCTCAATCTTATTTCTCGGTTATCCGTCGACACTTTGTCAAAGCTTTACTCTCCCCCCAAAAATTGTGTAAAAGTGAAATGAGTACTGAATTTTCTTGTTCGAAACGGTAGAGAAAGGAATATTTTAAGTCTTTCTGCGGATGATTGGGATTGAAAAAGCCCTATCGTCTACATATGGCACTAATACTTATTTCACATCAACGAAACCAAAAAGTCCTTTCTCAGTATTTACTTTAGAAGAGTTATACGAGCAAACATACAAATAACGCCTGAGGTTAGAAAGACAAAGCTACTTAACGATAGAAAGGTGGGAACACTCTTACAATGGATGTTTCAGAACGAATCCATGCCTTTGACGCATTGCAGAAAGATACTACCTGATGGACATGAAACTATTGAATCTACACAACAGATTTTTAGGACGAGCCTGTGCAACACGCATGCTATACAACGTGGACGAATCTCAAGGAAAGAAATCAACATATTATGAGTGTGTTCTTTGCATCCTTCAGTCTGCATATATGATGCCTTTCCTACAGGTTATGCTGAAAAATTGACTTGAAATATTGAAATGGAATATATTCATCAATACGAACGATTGAAAGAGACCGTTTATACGTGGACGGATCATTACTCACAAACCACGATTGTCAGTTTTGATGCCCTATAAATTACGGTTGCCAATAATGAACTATCGACTGAGTCAGCAGCCAGCTGTTTGTCTTGAAAGAAGCTTTACACTCCGGATAAGATCAAGTCATTTGCCTGGAAACATTGGATCACCACAACACGGTATATTTATAAAACCACCAAATTGTCTATCGACATTTAGAAAAAGTCAGTTTATTGTGTACAAGAAAAGATAGTAATTCCAGATCAAATCAACTGGCTGTACGGACATACTGAACTTCGGTAAAAAAAAAACGTGGAATGTTTTAAAACAAACACCTAAGTGTAAATACAAACGCTGACCTAGAAGAATGATGTGAACTTCAAAACAGCAACCAACAGATTCCAAGTTCGATAATGAACTTGAGTACAACGCGCTGTGCCTTACAACCAGAATGATGATATACTCTTTGTCATTAGGAATACAACATGACCTTGCCGAACCATACCATAATGAAAAATTGATGTGTTAGTTTGCCTTACCATTTTACTAGCGAAAGCGATGTCAACCATAGTACTAGCTCAGCAAGAGGTACAAATCAAAGAAGAATACGCGTTTACTGTGATGTTGAAAGTCAAATCAAAATGTTTATACTGTGGCCCATATATCTAACTAGAATATAAAGAATCAACTTGTCAGCCAGAGGAGACCAAGTCCAGATGTATGAAGATCTACGAAAGGGAATATGAACACTTATATGTCCTGGATCATGCCCTATTACCACCGTGTTGCCACTACCTTTATTTGGTAAGGGATGATTTTTGTCACCATTGTCTTTAGAAAAGAGCATTCGTTGTTTGCCTCCTGAGCTACGAAAACACATTTACAGCTGGCACAGATTCAAGCGAAATGCAAATAACGATAATATCATTCATGACAGACTTTTGAAACAGTGGTAAAAATATGCTATAAGAGGACTAATTTGTGTTCAAATAATCAGACTTTAATCAACTACCCACACCTCAAAAAAAATCGAATGCCAATATTTCTATCTGAAAGGCTAAAATACTATAAAGAATTCTTTTAGAAAACGAAGACTTAGACAAATCGTGTAAAAGAAGTACCACCTCAAGACTAGACCTCTTCAAGGCTTGAAGTGTTTTATTGACTGATCAATTTCTGTACCAGTAGATGTTTTGTAGAAAGTATGCTTATTTCCTGAAAAGAAAGACTAACAAGAAGAACACATTTAAAATATGCCTTTCGAGCTGCGTAAATGCACTTACAGAGAGTTTGTGTGTCTGTGATTTAGACTTTTTAACATAGCTTTAACAATTTTTCAGTCATATCGCTATGATATCTGCAGTGTTGTTGTTTATAGCGCTGTCTAGTACTAGGACGTCATGCCGCAGACATGTAGCTAGATGTTCCACCCAATTACATTATCTTCACACCAAGCCGACCAGTCTTAACACTAACATCTTAATGCTGAGCGCCAAGTGAGGAATCTGTATGTACTATTTTTTAAGTCTTTAGTATGACTCGGCATGGGTTCGAACCAGCGACCTTCCGCATCCGAGGCGGACGCTCTAACTATTAGGCCACCGGAGATTTAATTTGGAGATATGACAGCACAATTAGCTGTATGCTTCTAATTTCACATTGATCAAATAATTTATTAAAGAAAATAGTAAATTATTATAACAATATAACATGATTTAAAATGATAAGTTTGTTTTGAGAGCAGCAGAGGAAATAATCAAATATAAATTATCATTATGTACTCTTTTTTCCCTCAATTCAAAGCTATTAGACTTTCGTCATACTGCACACCACGTGAACAAGACTAGCGAGTATGTGGCGTTGTAAACACTACAAAAGAATCCAAAAGTGTAAAAGAAATATTAGACCAAGAATTTTTCAGAGACTAGAAGAACATCAGAGCCTGAGAATATTGTACAATATCTGTTTATATGTAGCTTTGTTGATTTTAATTTGTGTCACATTGAAATGTAAATGTCATTTGGTTGTGTTTATAAGTTTTGATAAATCCTTAAATATATATATATATATATATATATATATATATATATATATATATATATATATATATATATATATATATATATATAGTTGCCTCCTCCTCCCCCTCCTTTTCCTCATCCCTATTATAAAAATGATTGACTAAAAGTTGTATCCTCAATGTTGGAATCTTTGTTAACTAGCCATCTGTTGAACATGTAAGTTGTTATTTCAGGCAAGGGCAATTTTCTCAAACGTTAATCAAACACAAATCACATTTGTTTGATCGTTAGCACCAGCGTTTGAGTGGTGTTACAAAGAGTTGCATTCGACTTACGTGATACTGCAAGAAAGTAAAAAAAATTCATTTCTTTTGTGAAAAGCAAGACAATGGGATCGAGCCAGTGAAACCTATCTAGTAATCTTTGTTGACGTGCCATAAGAAGACGATTATGAAATGTAAAATTAGTTTACGCATAATGAATATGATCGTAATGATGATATTTATTTTTCATTACACTAAATTTATTTCAACAGCAGTTAAGCACATTGCACCACCAGTCTCAATGTCCATTATGCGGCATTGTCTAAAATTACAAGATATAAACCATAACGGCAAGTGTTCGCCAAACAGTTAGAAACACCTTGACTGAAAAATACGTATGACGATGCAACACAAATACATGATGTGTATTTACTCATCGATTTAAAACCCACCAGTGCTAATTTATTCTTAGCTCATCGTACCAATTTGTCATTTATACGTCCTATTTGGGATTTATGAGGAGAGACACAAACAATAAACCATCCAACACGTCTTTTCATTCACGCAGTTATCAAATTAAAGGTTTTTGAGTCTCATCCTGCCAAATTGATTCGTGCATTGTATAGCATCATTTGCTAGGAAAGTTCACAAATCCACCCCGATTTGTCAGACGCCAGTTTCAACGTGGTATGATGGTTTACTTTGACATCACGTCATATACTTCAAGAGATCATTCATATACACATCAAACCTGACGCTTGTTTGAAAAATATTAAATAACATTATCATAAGGCAGATCCAAGAATCGATATTAAAATCAATGAAACCTGGTGGAAATGGCTCCTTGAGAAGTGTCATTATTTGTTCCCTTTGAAAACAAGATTCCGATGCCAAAGCTAAAATAAAAAGCCAAATCCTGCAAACGACGGCAGCAAACTTAAAGAAAGAAAATTGTGGTGCCACAACTTTGCAAATGAACACTAAAAATCCCAAGAATAAATGCCTCGTGAAAAAATTAACATCTCACGCAATAAAAAACATGCTGCAAGGATATTTTGCGTATTCAAGAAGAACCATGTCGCTCGAAGACGGATTCTCCCCGCAACTTTTGTTTCTACTTCTTCACCGTTCACGATGACGCCTGTAAAACTTAATTTAACATCCGTATTTCTCAATTTGAAGAAGAAATAGAAACCCATTTCTAAAGAAACTTCTTTTTCTCCGGTGGCAGCAAAGATGTATTCTTTTTAAGGACCTGATGATTAGTCTATTGAGAAAACTTATTCGTCGATATGCCCATAGTGAGGTCTATACGAATTGCTGACAGTCATCTTAAACGAATTCAAGTATATACGAAGTGTGAGACACGACCTATTTCAATATGTTTGCTTCTGAAACAAATGATGTCACCAAGATGAAGTAAAAATCTCCATTGTAGCCACAATAATAACCTTCTTCCAATAAAGGACAAAAGAGTGGATTCCCATTGTTAAGAAAAACTTTGGGATATTCTGACGGTTCTTAGTACATCCAGTCATTCTATGCTAAAATAAATTATTTAAAAGGCAACCCAGAACTCAACAGAGGAGCTACGACAATGATTCCTATCGGTGAGCACTTGACCAAGTAAAGACCAATCAACTGAATGAATATATATGATAAATTCTGCTGGATGGGTCATAAGGACTGGACGCAAGAGAAGAGGTCTTGAAGAAGGAGGCCAATGAGACTAGTTTTAGGCTCTTGGACTCTACCAAGAAAAGTTGGAGAAAGAGTGGTTACAAATGAAGGGAGGGGCGACCACTGAGGAGGAAATTGTAAACCCCAACGTCCTTTTCATGGCCACTCAAATCAGTAGCAAAAAAGATATACTGTGTTTGTATGTATGTGTTCTCTTACGTATACTGTTGAGAACTGAACAAGAAACCTTATTTACACCTTCTGTGTGATAGTATCCTTTAACCATTCCGGCAATAAGGACAAGAATTTAGGCTTTGTAACATTCGTGTCTTTGGAAATAATAATCTACTTCACCGTCACTTAAATGTCAGTCAACAGAGTATGAACTAAAAGAGTATTTGCAAAGACTTCATTGAAGATTAAATTTAGGGTGCTATTGTGGAAATGACTGCTTTTGAAAGACAGGGCAGAAATCAAACTCTTTCATCAAAATATCATGTTTAGACCGGAAAATTCGACTTCAGAAGATTATAAAATTGCAACTCATATTTGTAAAGGTAAATAATACAGCCATTAAAAATGACTTGAAAGAGCGCCACAGGTACATGCGTCAAAGTCACGTCGTAATATTTTTCCTTTTCATATAACGTATGGTGCATATTGTTGTTGTTGTTGGGCTTAAGGTCATTTTTCAGCACACAATAGGCTATTCATGGCGGCCAGTATTAATGGTGGAGGAAGAAACCGGGAAATCATCGGAAAGAACCACCGACCCACGAGAAGCTACTGGCAAGCTTTCTCACATATCTACATTAGCCGAATCCTAGACTCGAACACACGCAGTCAGAGGTGAGATGGCAGTGATCCGTAACGGATAGCGCTTTGTAAATGATAACAAAATTATCTTCGATGATACGAAAATGTTTAGAAAGCTTGGCACGGATAATACATCAGAAAAGGATTGTGACGCAGGTTGTTCGTATAAGATCAGCCTTTATTACAAACATCATGATAGCACGATATTGATGTCTTCCTTGCGGTAGAAATACCGGAAATTATGAATATGTCTGCAATCTCTTTATATTTTAAATATATCAGACACGTGATCGAATATTAGACACATTATTTCCGATACCTTGTTTGCTTCATGAAATAAAGTATTTTTTCTTATATGTTGGTTGCCAGAACATCTTCCACACCATTATGTTTTATCACCTGAGGCTCTTCCGTTTTGTCTCGTTATGCATTTCTCCAATGAGTTATTATTTGTATGTGGTGATTATTGTCAGATATCTAGCTTTGTTTGTGCTTTATGATCACATCACGCTGCAGAGATTGCGAGCCTATTCTTTTCTAAATCAGATTTGTTCAAGAATTTTATGTATACATATTCACGAAACAACACAGCCAAGCATTAAACGTAATATTTTTCAAACGGTAAGTAGGTAAAATTTGAATCCAAATTATCCACTTTAGCCTCCATCCACCAACACCCGTATTCAAAATCTTAAACTTTAAACAATGCGTAGAATAAGTTTTACTAACGTTCTTAATTTGTCGAGGAATGAAGTGGCTGGCAAACTACCTTCTCGTTCTCTCTCTCTCTCTCTCTCTCTCTCTCTCTCTCTCTCTCTCTCTCTCTCTCTCTCTCCATAAATTATTTTTACTGCTACGGTAACTCCAATGTTTTACTGAATTGTATTTGATTAAAAACTTATATTCCTCATTTAGAAAACATAAATTAGCCACGTCGCTCATAATTTGGGCTATTGTCGTTCAGTTATGTACATATGTATGCATCAGTAGTAATTAGCTTCCTTTGCAACAGTCAGTCTGAAACAGAATGATTAGCATAAGCTATTCCATTGTTCGAAATCTAGTCACTGATGTTCAGGCACAACTGGCAAAATCCCCACAGGCACAAGATAATATAGTTCTCTGCCTGGACTTATGTCACAATTAGCATTTTCGAAAACCAACCATTGCCTAATGGGAAATAACCGTCTAGGATGATTTAATTATCCATGTTTATTTATGACACAATAACCAATATAATTCAATTAGGAATCTCCTATACCATGACCCAAACCAACATATTTACTCCTTCTTGTTTACCTGAATAATAATCCTGATAATAAGTTCATACATATAGCGAATAATGAAGGTATTATTGTTTACAAAAATGAAAAAAAAAAAAAGAGGCAATCAGGTCCGGCAGAAACTCAGTTTTGGACAAGGTCAAGTACAGCATACAATGTTACATTACAATAAAATAACGAAATAAAAAATTAAAAAGTAACAAAGAATGAAATTAAATATACATAACATATACTCGAAAACAACCGACAAATACCATGATTATCTCCAACTAGCTGACATCCAAAACACGGCATTAGGAACAGCCAATATAGTCAGGCACTGAGGGTACCCAGAATTTGTTCCGACGATGAAACAGTCCAGAAAATGTCTGTAAAGTTATCTAAATATTTGATTACCGAGGTTCCGACACAGACCTGATAGCGCAAGCATCCCGAAGAGGAGAGAAGGAAAAGGCTGATAGGATACCTTTATCCTGACCTACCATCCAAACAACCACAACGTAGGTAAAATCATCGCTAAACACTGGCCCATTGTGGAATCGGGTG